ACGTTTCGAACGTGTCGACACGATATTTCAATCCTTGGGATCATATCATATTTAAAATTAAAAAGAAAAAAAAAAGTTTCATTTAGATTTAATCTATTTTTTTCTAGCTCAGCTAGGTGGGGTAACCGAGCCACTTCATTTTCGTTATGTTGTGTCTGAGAAAAACACATAACGAAACAAACCTATTCGACAAACAAAAATAGGAGAGAGAATGATTCAAACCCTCAGTAGTTCTTTGTTCAAAACTATACCAATTTTCAAGACCAAAGCTATCAACCACTCAGTAATCTCTTCAAAAGATCATTTTGATTTTATTCCTCCGAATGGAATATGTCATGCTTTATTTTTCAGCTCAACGGTACTTTTATACTTGGTATTTATATAAAGGCTAGGGTGTAGCTGTGTAACTTTACACACTACTCCCGAAACTTTCACTTATCCTAAAACCCTTGAATTTCACAATTTAACTTGATATCAGAGCACCGACCAAATCCGAAGGAGTTGAGATTGGTCGAAACTTGTCAAAAAAGTCTGACGGGGATTCCGACGTGTTGACATCAAGACCTGAACTCCTAACATTAGTGTCAACTTGGTTAGATTTGATTGGAACTTTGGAAGCTTCATGATTTGATTTATCACTAATATTTGAGAATTATGGTACTTTTTCATAATTTTTTGAAGACATTTGATCTGGATTTTCTATTTTTAAAGTACTTTTGCACTTTTGTTTCCTGAAAACTGAAATTTCGAGTTTTTTGAGCCTATCTATCGCTTAGTTTGCTTCGATCTTACACTATGAGGTTCAACTATGGTTGACAATTATTGTCTAACAGATTTTATTGTGGTTGGGTTGGATTTTAGATGGTTTTTTGCCAGATTTAAGAATCGGTAGATTTTTGATAGGGGTTGTTTGACTACTTTTTTGGCCTGCTTATTGCTTTTCTTTGCTTGTCAAAGGTTCAAAACTCATCCTAGGTTGTTGTTTTATGTGGACATTTGTTTCTATTGTGCTATTCCAATTGCCAGGACATGTCAGACGGTACTGTGACTTCTACTAGTACTAAAAGCGGTGTATTGAGCCATCCATGGACTCTTGCGAATGACTTATCTCTTCCAAGTAGCCCGGAGAAATTGGATGGAAGCAATTATTTGGCATGGTCACAAGCTTATTTTTTATAATTCCAAGCTGTTTCTTTGGATGGGTTATTTAGCTAGAGATACCACAAAGCCTAGTGAATTAGATCCTTCCTTTATGCAATGGACATCTGAAAATGCCCTAATTATGTCTAAGTTACTTAATTCAATACAACCTCATATTAGTCATGGTTTTCTATTTCTTGATACTGTCCATAATTGGTATGTTGTGTCTCACACATACTATTAAAGTGGTAACATTGCTAAGACAGATGACCTTCAAAAGAAAGTTCGGGATACCAATCACAAATACAAGTACTTTGAAATATATTATAAGGGGTTGACCACTTCATAGCAAGAGCTTGACTAATTCAAGAATTATCAAGCAGAACGCCACAAAGTTTCAGCAATTAGTGGAGAAAGAATGTGTTTATGACAATCTTGTTGGCTTCAACATTAAATATAATCAGATTCGGGTTTAGATTTTCAATTGTAGCCCTTTTTGCACCTTGTGTGACTGCTATGGTTCATGCTTCCGTTTAGGAGCAATCTGCTTTAGTTGTTATTCCTCTGCCTGATCTCAAATTAGCTTAATCCAAGACTATTGACAAGTATATGTTGAAGCTCCCGTTTAGGAGCAATCTACTTTAGTTATTATTCCTCAGCCTGATCTCAAATTAGCTCAATCCAAGACTATTGACAAGTTTGTGTTGAAGCGTGATTACTTGGGGAAAACAAGACACACAAGGGATTCTTGTCGAAAGGTGAATGGACGTCCCACTTGTGGACGCGATGGTGGCCAAGGTTAGGGGTGTCAATCATGTCATTTTTGTGTCACGTCACTTTCAATCATATTATTTTCATGTCGGGTTACTTTTGGTACATTTCGGGTTCATGTCAATATCCGTGTCCATAAGAAATTATTTAATTCCATAATGACTCATATAATACTATTTAAAAAATTAAAAACTTCTTATTTTTTATCTACAATACTAGTTAAATACTTATTTCTATCTATAGTACCCGTTAATCATGTCGAACCTTAATTTGACTTATTTATTACTCATGTCAACTAATCGTGTTATTTTTTATTTTTGTGTCGAGTCGGGTTCATGTTAATGGATAAAATTAATACCCCTAGCCGAGGTGGTACCGTACAATCTCATGCTCATTTGATGGAGGTTTCAAATGCTCCATCTTAGTTCAATGGTCTACTACAACTTCTAACACTATTTTCTTCTTCCAACTTTGTCCATACAAGTAATTACTGCATTTAGTATCTTGTCCTCATATACTCCTTGGATAATAAATTTTGGAGCCACTGACCGCACGAAGATTTCTAGCCTTTTCTCCTAATCTCCACACTCTAGTAGAGATAATGTAAGAGTGACATATGGATCTTCCTTCTCTGTTTCTGGGAAAGGTTCAATTAATTGCTCTCCATCAATGTCCCTCGCATCTGTCCGTCACGTTACTAATTTTTTAACTAATTGACTATATGTTGGTAGTATTACAAATCTTTGAATTGTTCAACGACTTTCTTACTCATTTTATCTTTTTGGAAAAGAATTAAATTTTGTTTCAAAATGGTCAAAACATACAAAACATTTCCGTTTCCATGGAAACCGAAATAAATAATCAATTGAATATCAAAATTCTTATGTTTAGAAAAGTTTCGAGGTGATTCAATGTGTTTCGGGGTGTTTTGACTTTTGTTTCAGGGTGTTTCGACCAATGTTTTACAAACAAATTTTTAAATTTTTTTTTGTTTCCATCTTATTTCCAAAATGTTACTGAAACATTGCCGAAAAATTTTCATTTCCAAGTTCAGCAAAATAAAATTTTGATTCTTACTTTTAGGAACTGGAGACGGGGAGAACAATTGATAGGAATAAAGCATATGGTGATCTTTATCTTTTTTATGTTCAAGCTTCTTCTCATTTTGCAAGCCAAGCTCTTCAGGTAAATGGTGTTTCAACTCTTTAGCTCTTACATCAGTGACATACACGTTGAGGTCATCTTTCTTTTGGTGTTTTACAAAAAGTATTTCCTAGTTTCGTTAAAAAGTATAATAGGGATATTTTTGCCAGTGATACTTATGAATTTTTCAAGTATAAACCCTCATCTTATCATAGAAATAATAACAGAAGCATTACTTTTTTCATGATTATTCATACTAATGTGTGGGTGCCTTCTCGTGTGGAATCTATATCTGATTATCGTTGGTTTGTCACTTTTATTCATTGTCACTCTCATCTTACTTAGGTTTACCTACTCCACACTAAAAGTAAAGCCTTCACTTACTTCAAATCTTTTCATAAAATGAGTACTTAGTTTGATATTCAAATTAAAATTATTCGGAGTGAGAATGGCAAACTATTTATGTGAGCACTCCTGAACATAATTTTATTGCTGAGTCAAAAAATCGTCACCTCCTTAAGGTTACTCGTTCATTGATGTTCTGAAGGTATAGCTATGGCATGGTTGGACCAACATGACCAAATCTGGAAGCCGAGACGAAAGGCTAAGAGTTTTTAGTCCAAAGAGAAATGTACTTGGTAGATTTGTTAGGATTTTATTTGCTATTTTTATTATTTATTATTTGAATTTTAGTTAGATAGTGTTTATCAGATTGAGATTAGTAGGGATAAATTGATAGAGTTTTAGTAGTAAAGTAGTTCATTTATGATAGGACACTTGGTCTATAAACAAGGATGTACTCTACATTATTTTAATCAAAATTGAATATTAGTTTGAGAACTCTCCGTGGAGATTTGTGTTTCTTAACCTAATTTTTGGCAAGATTTGGTATCCCTTTTCTTTCCCTTCCCTCCCTGCATCAATTGGTATTAGAGCCCTACTCCGATCCATAGTCTATTGCTATTTCGCATCCTCTTTTGCGCCTCCAATCTATGTCCAGCTTAATGTTCACAGCATAAAGTATTTTGTCCATATCTATGATTTCACCACCTACACCAGTTGTCTTCATTGTCATCTTCTATAGCCACATAAAGTCGGTTGTTGAGTTGTCTTGAGTCACTCGCAACATCTTAATAGATGCATCACTGAAGTCGTGATCGTTGTCATGATCAACTAACATTAACCCACAATTACCTAGACTAATTAAAAAAAAGAAACGGCCCAGCCTACTTGTCCCTTCTCAGATACCCCGGTAGAACTAAACCAATTTCCACCACCAAATATTTTAAAATTACACACAACCCAAAGTCTTTCCAAAATTATAATTTGGCCCTAAAGTTTCAGAAATTACATTAAATTACAATTTGGGCCCTAAATTTTTGAAAATTACAATTTAACCCCTAGAGTTTTTGAAATTATAGTTTGGCCCCTAAAGTTTTAAAAATTACAATTTAGCCCCAAAATTTTTTGCAACTTTTCAAGGGACCTCTTCCATCAAGATTAATGTCGAGCTAAGTGCTAGAGTTAAAGTACATGATTTACAACTAGATTTGCTCCAAGTATCGATGGATTCTCTCCAAATATCAATGGCCTCGTTGAAAGAAACAGTGGACATCTTACCCTCTCGAAAGGCAATTGTGGATGCCTTGGCTGCAACTAATTAAAGATCCAATTTGCCATCACTTCAGCATTGCAACTATTTACTCACAAGTAAAATGATTCAATAAAGAGGGGTGTCATCGTATCCTAAAAATAATCCTATTCGCTCACAAATTTCCACTGCGAAGAATTGGCAGTCAACAAGGTTAAGAACAAAAATTAATAAGCAATTGTCAAGGGAAGTTCCTTTTTTAAGGCTTTATGAAAGACAGTTATGCATGGCAACTGGAAACTATCCATATGTTTGTACAAAGTAACAACGCAAGATAAGATTCATTACGGTTTGGTCAATAAATTTCATAGTCAAAAACAAACCGGGCAACAAAATTTACCTGGTAGAAGTATAACCGACTAGAGAGGGCCCCTACATCAAGTTCCCAAGTCCTGGAATTTCCAACCCATCCATCTCCTTGGTTTGCAGGGTAGCCATGCACAGCCCACTCAGGATGTGGTAGAATTTGTACCAACTCTTGTGCTTGTGGATTGCTATATGGGTCACAGATGTCATATGGTTTCTCCAAATAATTGCCATTTCCTGGCGCACAGTAGAGATGGTAGGCAGAGTACGGAAATCGTGATGTATCATTCCTATAAATTGTCTCCCCAGCAGCACTGATGTGGTAAGGTGGGCAGTTCCCTAGGTTATCTATGCGGCACCAGCTTGTAGTTGCAGGATTGATGATCATCTCACTATATCTAGTCACATCTGTTAGAACATCTCCATTGCATGGATCTCCATTGTTCTTCCAACAACTTCCTATATCAAGTAGATAAAATTGGCTGTTGGGCCCTCCTCCTTGTTTAACATCCACAGACAATTTTACCTTAAAATTGGGAGATTCCGGCACCTGAGAGGAAAATGCAGGTCAGAAATTTATTTTTCTCATATAAGCCTTCACGTATAATAGAGAAGTACTGAAGAAAAAATGATACAGGTTTTGAGAACTACTCACTATATGCTTTCATGAAATCATATAATTCCCGGAGATTAAGAGAAAAATGTCCTCAAAATTTTTCTAGAATTATTTCCTAGTTCACCATTACATAGAGAATGGGAAAATATTTTCTGCCAGATCCTTATATCAATAGGCACCAAGTCCTATGTAGAGTAACTGGTCAAAAGCCATATATACGGACAACAATTTTGACAGCTAGGAGGAGGAAACTATGGTACAGACCTTTCTCATGATACCCCGACCACCATAGTGATAACCTCCATTAAATCCTTTTGTCGAATCTGCCCTTAGATACAACATAAGCCAAGGATACTTAGAAGATGTTGTTAATCTATTCGAGATAATCCAACTCCCTGTGCTCAGATTTTTCCGCCATGAAACAGAGAAGAAAGAGTTCTGCCCTACACCTGTGCTCAAATTGGTGTCAAGGTCATACGTCCCATAAAAACCTCCACTCAAAGAGACCATTTGGTCCCCAAAAGAAACCACCCTTGAACGATTATGGTACACAAGTGGTTGATTCATGCAGCCTTCACCAAAACATGGAAATCTTCTGTCCGTCTCTATTCTACTAACTTTATGGCCATTTTCAGGACAGATGGTTGTGTTTTTGTCAAAGTTGCCATTTTTTAGCATTATCATCCAAAAGTGCCACGGTTCTGCAGACTGATGAACTTCACATAAAGAACCAAGATATAATTCTTTTTCCACAGCATAAAGATCAGGATCAGTGTACGGTTTAAAATCTGTTACAGGAAATTTATTGCCAGCCCCTAGTCTGTTGTCTGATTCCTGCACCTGGTGATGTACATCACACTTGTCACTTCGTAGATCACCCCGGAAGTCTTCAACAAGACAACATGGAACCAGAATGGATCAGTCAGGAGATAATAGTTTCAAATCAATGTAAATGAAAACCATTTCTTTGTTGATATTATAATTAGCAACGGTAGATGAGTTATATGTTTCATTTGATGTAAACTGTAATGGAACTAGCTCAGTATAAATCAGCATGTTTGATCGCAAGATGCAGAAAAATTAGCACATTCATTGGGAATCTGTTGAGTTAGAGATAGAAAACTTCTTAAGCCATATAGTCAGCCTCTCAACTAATAGCCTCTTCCCCCAAACACACACACAATGGGAAAAGGGGAAGAAAGAAATAAAGAAGGAAGCAGTCAATAAGCATTAGAACAATTGCGCAAAAGTGGAGTTTGTTGATATTATTGAATGGCAGTTGTACATGAGGACAAACATCTCTCTTTAACCTGCCTTGAGTGTAGGAAAAAGTGATAGTAACAAGTTGTCAAATAAAACACCAAAGAAGAGCCTTGGAAACTCCATGATGCATGCAAGTGCACACACAAGCAATAAGATAATCATTTTGTCAAGTATCTATATACTATATCCACAGAAACATAATTCTCAAGTTATTCAACTATTTGCCCAAATTTATCCTCACCTCATTGAGATTGTTAAGTTTAGAAAAAAGGTATCACTTAACACAATATAAGAGAGGCAAAGAGTAGTGTAACTTATCCTATCTCTCACTCTCAACTTGTATATAGAGTTACCTAATAAAATACACAAAACCAATATACCCTCAGAGAGGTATACTTTTTACAACTATATTAAATAATAATAATACTCTCAACATTCCCCCTCAAGCTGAAGTATATATATCATATAATTCAACCTTAGAATAGATGGTTGTAAGGCGAGTGCAATTCAATACCTTGGTAAACATATATGCTCTAATTTCACAAATGGTGTTGCAATATCCATCTAGTATCTTGTCTCGAATAAAGTAACAATCAACTTTAATATGTTTGGTACTCTCATAGAATACGGGATATGAAGAGATGTCTAATAACCATAGAACATTTGTAAGGGAAGTTGAACTAGAAAACTAAATTCCAGGAGAAAGTGTAGTAACCAAGTCAACTCACCGGTTGTATGTCATTGATCTATACTCAGACTCAGCACTGGACCGTGCTACCACTGTTTGTTTCTTACTTTGCCATATAATAACATTACCTTCCAAGAAAGAACAACAACTAGTAGTTAATCTTCGATCCAAGGGAGAACCGGCCTAATCAACATCTTTACAACCTTCTACTCTAAGCTGCCAATTAACTCGATACAACAACACAAGTTTGGGGACATGTTTAAGGTATCGAAGAATGCGAATGACTGCATCCCAATGTGGTACTCCAGGGCATCCTATAAACTAACTCACAATACTAATTGCATAGGCAAATACATATTTTCTCTAAGACAAATAGATGCTATACTTAGAGCTAACAACTTCAATACCCAAGTACTTGAGTTTTCTTAGGTCTTTAGTATAAAATCAATCCTGCAAAAGATTTTTAACTTTGTAATATCCTCATAATTATTACCAATAATTTCAATATTATCTACATAAACAACTAATATAATATATCCTACAACAATATGTCTGTGAAAAATAGAATGGTCTGTCTGCTATCTGAGAAGACTACACTCTAAAACTGCATCTAAAAACTTATCAAATCATGCCATCAGTGACTGTTTTAAATCATACAAAAACTTCCTTAGTCAACACACTCTTACAATACTGCCCCTAAGCAACAAACTCGGGTGATTGCTCCATGTAGACTTCCTTAACAAAGTCACCATATAAGAATGCATTTTGAAATCTAACTGAAACAAAGATCAATCAAGATTAGTAGCCAAAAAAATCAGTACATGGACAGAAGAGAAAACAAGAGAAAAAGTCTTCTTGTAACCAACACTATAGATTTGAATAAAGCCCTTGGCAATAAAATGGGCTTTTAGGTACTTAACAGAACCATCGGGATTAAATTTGACGATATACACCCACCGACAACTAACAGTCCATTGACTAGGCAAAAAAAGAACTAAATCCCAAGTTCCATTATAATATAAAGCATCCATCTCCACTTCCATAACTTTCCTTCAACCCACATCAGACAACGCATCCTACAATGTCTTAGGAATAAAAATAATAGATAGCTGAGATATAAATTAAGAGAAGGCAAGGGATAATGTATCATAAGAAACAAAATTAATAAGAGGATGGTTAGTATCACAAGACCAAGTACCTTTACGAAGAGCAATAGACAAAGAGTCAAAAGGAACTGAGGGACAAGGATTAGAAGACCGCAAGGAATATGGGAGGGGCACCTTAGTCAATGATTTCAAAGGACGAGAATATACCTGGAATAACAGAGAATCATAGTAGGCAATGGAGTAACAGAGGGTAAAAGAAGAAGGGGTGGAGGGAACTGCCCAAAGTCAAGGCCTAAAGGATTAGTTGGAGCTAGAAAATATGGGTCCGATTCAGTGAAAGTGACATCAGCACTGGTGAAGTATTGGCTAAGTGTGGGATTATAGCATCAATATCCCTTATGTATGCGAGAATAATCAAGAAAGCCACATTTTTATAGTATAAGTGGCAAGTTTATCAAAACAGGAACCTAAGTTGTGAACATAATATACACACCCAANGACAAGTCGATAAGGTCTTGAGGGCTATGGAGATCACCTCCGATGCCACCAAGATAACCCTAGTAATATGTGAGCTGGAGGGAGAATCCCAACTATGGTGGGATTGGGTGAAGGACTCCAAGAATTTGGAGGCTATGACTTGGGTAGAGTTCAAGGAGCTCTTCATGGACAAGTATTTCCTGGCGGCCCCAAGACATGCAAAGATCCGAGAACTTTTGGACTTGAAACAAGGAACCATGACGGTGATGAAATACGTGGCTAAATTCATGGAATTAGCACGTTTCGTTGATGATTATGTGGCCACAGATGTGGCAAATGTGAGAAAATTTGAGGATGGTTTAAAGTTATCCATCCGAGGCAAAATTGTGGGTCTTCTTCTGCAAGACTTGGACTCGATGCTCCTGACAGCTATGGCCATTGAGAGAAAGGTATAAGATGCACGGAACTCCCAGGAATTGGGTGTCAAAGACAAGAAGAAGGAGGGTTAATCCTCTTCTTCTAGCTCGGGGAAGAAGCAGAGAATTTCTACTCCTCAAGGATTCCAAGGACAAGGATGCGGTCATCAAGACCAAGGCCAAGGTCAGTTCTCCCAAGGCGGGAGACACTTCGGGGCTTCCAGCCAGGCAGGCTCAGGGGCATGTTTTCATTGTCACCAACTAGGTCACATGAAACGGGATTACCCTCAGAGGCAGGGATCCTAGGGTTACAAGTCATCTAAGTCCCAGACTTTGGTGGGGTAACCACAGACGCATTATGCTCCTTACTACCCCACCATGGGCCGAGGAGCCAGTACCAGTTTCAGGGTGCTACACAGGCCCCTACTACTTCACGTGCGGGAACTCCGCAAGCAGGCCAGCTAGGCAGCTAGGCTAGGGCATGGGTCGAGGCCGAGGACAGGGCTCACAAGCTGGTACTTTGGGAATCTAGGGGTGTGTCTATGCCATGGTGCCACAGACTGAGCCGGTAGATCCATCGGTGATACAAGGTACATTATTTCTCTCTCGCTTATGGGCTAGAGTATTATTTGATTTTGGTGCATCGCATTCTTTTATTGCTGCATCTTGTGTGAAAGACTTGGGCTTAGAGGTTGGAACCTTGGAAAAACCAATGCATGTGAGTTCTCCCCTAGGAGTTAGGGTGAGAGTTGATCAGATATGTCAGGACTGTGAGTTAGAGATCTCGGGGATTCTACTCACTAGGGACCTTAGGGTCATAGACATGTTAGAATTTGATGTGATCCTCAGAACGGATTGGTTGGCGGCACATCAGGTCATCATTGATTGTGATAGGAAGATGGTCGCCACTTACAAACCTGATGGTGTTTGTGTTAAGTTCCAGGGGGAAAAGCTTGGTGCTTTACCCCAAGCCGTGTATTACCCTAAATGGCACGGACAGGATTTGGGTCTACCTCGGGTGGTATGTGAGTATGAGGATGTCTTTCCGAATGAACTACCGGGATTGCCTCCACATAGAGATGTAGACTTCAACATTGAGTTGCATCCTGGTACGTCGCCTATTTCTATGACTACATATAGGATGGCACCAGCTGAGTTGTAGGAACTTAAGCTCCAGTTGCAAGAATTATTGGACAAGGGATTCATTAGACCGAGCACTTCGCCTTGGGGCACTCCGGTGTTGTTTGCTAAGAAGAAGGACAAAACCTTTTGACTATGCATAGATTATCGACAGTTGAATAGGGTTACTATCAAGAATAAATATCCCTTACTAAGGATTGACAACTTCTTTGATCAGTTGAGAGGGGCGCAAGTTTACTCCAAGATAGATCTCCACACCGATCACCAGCAGTTGAGGATTAGGGAGGCTGATATCCCTAAGACGGCATTTTGGATGCGGTATGGGCATTTCGAGTTTAGAGTCATGCCTTTTGGATTGACGAATGCTCCAGAGACATTCATGAATCTCATGCATAGGGTGTTTTAACCCTACCTAGATTAGTTTGTTGTAGTCTTTGTTAACGACATCTTGATCTACCCCATGTCTGAGGAGGAACA